ATTTACGATTTAGCTATTATCGCAAATACAAGCAATATAAAATTATATGAAAAGGTAATAATTATATATATACATATTAATCATTGCAACCCATTCAGGGGTTGCAACATGCACTTCTGACCCCCCCACAATCAAATATGATTGCTAATTTTAATTTGATAATTTGTGCACTTCCAACCCTGCAATCAAGTAAGATTGCTATTTTTAATTTGAAATTTTGTACGCTTAACAGCTGAGGTTTAAAATTTAGTAGTACCCGGAGCAAAAGAGTTTGTAAAGAATATGGTTTTCCCTGTGCATGAATTAGTCTATGATGTTATTAACTGAAGAACAGATACAGAATTTTTTTTCAGAAATGTTATCAGTAATACAATTAGTATTCATTATTCCATTTTTGTTTTACCTCATCAGCTATCTCCCATCAAAACCATGTACTCACTGTAACTCATCTAATGACCATATGAACTATGTATCATTGCCTTCCTAATCTTAAGTTAATCCTTAAGTTTGCCCGAAATACTCTGCATACAAAGGGGTTTTTGGCATGTACACCCAACTATTATATTCCTCTGTACAACCATGTAATGTGTCAAAGTAAACATCTTAATCTTAAAGCAAGGTGACCCAAAGAAGAAAATACATTAATCATTCATTCATTTAGTTACTGCCTTCCCATTACACTTCAATTACCCTCTTGAGTGCAACATCCCCCACCCCCTCTTTCAGAGTTCAAGCACTGCACTTCCCACCTCCAGGATTCAAGCCTGGCTAACTGGTTTCCCTAAATTCCTTCATAAATGTTACCATGCTCACACTCCAACAGAACATTGTCTTAAAACCATTTGCTTCTGCTCTTTACTAACCCTTTTAGGGTCGGTTGCATATCACTATGGCTTTGAAGCCCAGGTTGGTCCCATTGAGCTCAGCTCACTCAGATGAACTGTGAGCAGTAAATTTCAGCATAGATATGAGGGAATGGGTCTTTGCGGTAAGTGTGCACCATATAAAAAAAATCCTGCAGCAAGCGGTGCATAACGGGGAGGAAAAAAACTGCAACCGTGTTTTTTGGATTAAATCCGACTTTGCGGTGTACATATTTTCATATGGTTTTTATCGTTGTATTCTCGGTTTCTTGGTCACACTTGATAGAAAAGATTTTTTTTTTTTTTTTTTCAACAAGTCGGCCATCTCCCACCGAGGCAGGGTGACCCAAAAAGAAAGAAAATCCCCAAAAAGAAAATACTTTCATCATCACTCAACACTTTCACCTCACTCACACACAATCACTGGTTTTGCAGAGGTGCTCAGAACACAACAGTTTAGAAGCATATACGTATAAAGATACACAACATATCCCTCCAAACTGCTAATATCCCAAAACCCCTCCTTTAGAGTGCAGGCTTAATTCCAAGATACTTTCATTCCTGAAACAAATCAAAATCATCTCTATTTCTGTAATACAGTGGACCCCCGGTTAACGATTTTAATCCGTGCAAGAGGGCTCATCGTTATGCGAAATAATCGTTATGCGAATCTATTTTCCCCATAAGAAATAATGGAAATAAAATTAATCCGTGCAAGACGCCCAAAAGTATGAAAAAAAATTTTTTTTACCACATGAAATGTTAATTTTAATACACACAAACTGAAAAAGGCATGCACAATTAAATGACACTTACTTTTATTGAAGTTTCTGGTGATGATTGATGGGATGGGAGGAGGGGAGAGAGTGTGTTAGTTTTTTAGAAGGGGAATCCCCTTCCATTAGGACTTGGGGTTTAGTAAGTCCTTTTCTGGGGTTACTTCCCTTTCTTCTTTTAATGCCACTAGGGCCAGTTTCAGAGTCACTGGACTTCTTTCGCACAAGATATTTGTCCATAGTGGCCTGTACCTCTCTTTCCCTTTATGACTTGCCTAAAGTGTTTCACAACATTGTCAGTGTAATAATCACCAGCACGGTTTGGCAATAGTTTGTGTGAGGGTGATTTTCATCCATAAAGGGTTTTGCACTTCAACCCACTTTGCACAGTTTTCCCTTAAATCTTTGAAGTAGGCAACTTCTTCAATTTCTCTCTCCCCTCCTCCGAAGCAATTTCCTCAGGTGTGGCCTCTTGCTGTTGAAGTTGATCTAGCAGCTCATCAGGGGTTTTAGTTCTTCATTGTCCTCCTCCACCAACTCTTCCACATCCTCCCCACTAACCTCCAACCCCAAGGACTTTCCCAATGCCACAATGGATTCCTCAACTGGCACGGGAAATCTCAGGGTTAGCCTCAAACCCTTCAAAATCCCTTTTGTCTACACATTCTGGCCACAGTTTCTTCCAAGCAGAGTTCAAGGTCCTCTTTGTCACTTCCTCCAAGCCTTACCTATAAGGTTTACACAATTGAGGATATTAAAGTGATCTCTCCAAAACTCTCTTAGAGTCAGTTGAGTTTCTGAGGTCATTACAAAGCACCTTTCAAAACAGAGCTTTTGTGTAAGTTTCTTGAAGTTGGAAATAACCTGCTGGTCCATGGGCTGCAGGAGAGGAGTGGTATTAGGAGGCAAAAACTCACCTTAAGAAGCTCATGTCCCCATAAAGTCGCTCTGACACGTCTGTAGGATGACCAGGGGCATTGTCTAAAACCAGGAGGCACTTAAGTTCTAATTTCTTTTCAGTTAGGTAATTTTTCACATTGGGGGCAAATGCATGGTGTAACCAGTTTTTAGAAAAATTCCCTAGTGACCCATGCCTTACTGTTTGCCCTCCACAGCACACACAAAATTTTCCTTGAGGACAATTTTTTTGCCTGAACGCTCTGGGAGTTTCAGAGTGATACACTAATAAAGGCTTCACTTTTCAATCACCAGTAGCATTGGCACACATCAACAAAGTAAGCCTGTCTTTCATAGGCTTATGTCCTGGGAGTGCCTTTTTCCCCCTGAGTAATGTAGGTCCTGGGTTGGCATTTTCTTCCGAACAGGCCTGTTTTTATCACAATTAAACACTTGTTCAGGTTTCAGGCCTTCAGTTTCTATGTACTCCTTGAATTCCTGCACATATTTTTCAGCCACTTTGTGGTCCGAACTGGGAGCCTCACCATGCCTTATCACACTATGGATGCCACTACGCTTCTTAAATCTCTCAAACCAACCTTTGCTGGCCTTAAATTCACTCACATCATCATAGTTGCAGGCATTTTTTAATTAAATCGTCTTGCAACTTCCTAGCCTTTTCACATATGATCGCTTGAGAGACGCTATCTCCTGCTATCTGTTTTTCATTATCCACACCAATAAGAGTCTCTCAACATCTTCCATCAAATTTCGATCTTTGTTTCGAAAACACAGTTGAACCTTTGGCAAGAACAGCTTTTCCCTTTATTGTCTTTCTGGTGCCCACAATAGTAGCGATGGTTGATTGGGGGTTTCTTGTACAGCTTGACTAGGTCGGCTATACGCACTCCCCTTTCATACTTATCAATTATCTCTTTCTTCATCTCTATAGTAATTCTTACCCTTTGAGGTGTAGGGTTGGCACTAGAAGCTTTCTTGGGGCCCATGGTCACTTATTTTCCAGAAACAGCACCGAAAATACTGTAATAATACGAAATATTCCGAGTGTATGCTTGGATGTTACCGCGGAGGCTGGCTGGTAAACAATGGGACGGAGCGGCACATGTGAGGCTGGCTGAGGGCACATTGGACGCGTCTCGGACGAAAATCGGTATGCCGGTTTTTAATCGGTATGCGGGGCAAAAATTTTGAGATAAAAGTAATCGTTATGCGGAAAAATCGCTATGCGATGCCATCGTTATGCGGGGGTCCACTGTATATAGAAAAGATATATTTAAGAAATAGAGATGATTTTTGATTTGTTTCAGGAATGAAAGTATCTTGGAATTAAGCTCAAAGTAGCAGCAATGTTCGATTTTTACCAGTATTCCACAGTACACAAATTGTCACTTGTCCAATATTTGTCCAACTGGTTGGTCTAATATGTATCAACAAATGCGCTGACATTATTTAAACAATTATTACAGCAATGCAGTAGTCTGCATAACAGTAAATCTTTTATTTTTTGTGTGAATAAAAATTCTAAATGGAAAGCAAGCATAATATAGGAGAGGCCTGGAGACATATCTAATAAACAGCAGAAATGTTATTTTTGGTGCCATAAATGTGTATATTGTTTATTCTGGACCCTATTTTTTAATTGGCAGTTTTTTAATTTTGTGTAAAACTGGCCAAATTACCAATTTCTGATCTTTATTGGTTGAAATAGGTAAATGGGTGGTTTTCCTGTACTCAGTTATTAGAATAGAAGGAGTACTAGTGCAATAGCTATGAGTTTGGTCGACTGGAACAATGTAATTGGCCAGAAGTGGGCGAAATTTACGATGCATAAACATCACTAAGACTACTAACTTTGGGAGAGCATAATTCCATAAGTTTTCCATTAAATTTTGTACTTTCGGTTTCATTACCTTCAGAAAAAGTATCATTTCATAAGATTTTTTTGTTTTTAATTCTCCATCCCTGAGAGCACGTTTCAGATCGGGTTCCAACCCTGAAAGGGTTAACGTGCTTACACATACCTGCTGGCTTCTCAAGCCTGAACTACTTAGAACTTCCTTCACCCCCTCCCTCCAACTCTTTATGATACAACTCCTTGGCAACATCAGTGAGCTGGGTTTGAAACACTTAGAAAAACATATGACCACACCTCCTCCTTGTTCTTGCCTGTCACATCTCTTCCATGAGGTGAATCCAGCATTTCTAGCAAAGTTTTCCAGAGTCCTGTCATCCAAAAATGTCTCAACAATGGCAGTCATATCACGACAGTGAGTGTTCACGAAACTGTAAACAGTAATAATTTTTTGTGGTATAAGTAAAATTATCCTCAATCACATTAAAAATCTGAACTTGAAAAGTCACTTTTCTTCCTCTACTGTTTGCATCTCATCCCATTAATCTTTCTATTCACATTTATTGAACTACTACATATTAATTATTTCAGGGATTTATGGAAGTGGACCAGGCCATCACTCCAGAAGAGAGGCATGTAGCTAATATGCAGGTCAATGGTTATGAAAACCCCACTTATAAATATTTTGAAGAAAAATAAACAAGCGAACAAGGGGCATTTATACATCCCATATAAATAAGAGGGGAACCATTCGTCCGTTTTCCCAACATCAGACACCTGTTGACTGAGAGCATTAATTATAGACTGAGAACTTACAAGTGACCCCAAACTAGGTTGCTTTAAGGGTCATTTACATAAGAAATGGTAAATGGAGATATTGGGTAAGTGGTAGCAAAGCTAAGCTCACAGGTGCTGATGGTATGCATTGTGATTTCAGAATCATCAGTTGTCAATACAGTCAATGAATTTAAGGAAATAAATTGGCTATGTATAATTACAAGCTTGATTATCAAGACTGATACAATCCAGAGAGACCTCTCATTTATTACACAACATAATAAACAGTGAATATCTGGATTTTATATATAAAGTATTGATTTGCAGTGTGTTAATATTTTATGCTCTTAAGTAAGCAAATGTCTTTAAATTTTAACTTTTTATAACATTCCATGGAATTGGCAAATTTTGATTCTGAGGTGCACAGTTGTGAAAGTCATGTGAAACTCAAGCCTTAAGTCATTGGTTTTTAGTCACCAATATTGCACTTATCCAGGATCAGTAAACTTGAATCTATTTTTTTTATATAATTTAATGCTTTATGTAGATATTAGATACAAAATCAGCATTAAAAGACAATATGTGAAGATGCTGGTTCCCTGTATCTTGGATAAGAGAAGTTATTGGTATTATACTTCAGTGTAGATGATGTATCATGTCCAACATACATAGAATTAACAATAATTTGTTATCATAGAAAAACTAAATAGGTTTTATCATGCTTTTATCATAGACTAACTTTCTGGAAAGTTATTGGCCACTGCAGTTGTAAATTATCATAAAAACTGTAACAAAGTTAGGTGTACTGGATATAGGATGTGTTCCATTTGGCTGCACTTGCGTATGTTGTATCTTATATATACTCTGGTGTGGTATTAGGTGCAAGTTTACACTTACGATGCCAGTTATCTTTTTTGCTTATGTAAATTAGGACTGTCAATAAATTTTCTATGCTAATTAATCACCAATGACTTTAGTGCACCGGAGTTGTATAAATGACAATGGAGCAGTCTTGGGCACCATCTGAAGCCCAGAATTCCTGATGGCGTTACTTATAACGGGTTTGGTTGCTTAGCGATAGGGATCCTTTTTGGGAGCCTCTTGAACTTGGCACCAAGAATTAAGTGGTCTCTCACACATTATTTTTATGCAGTCAGCTATCTTTTTTTTTTCTCATTGATAGGACAAAATTATATTTTTGTCATTTCCCTCTCATCAAGGTGCCGTTTAGACATTTTTTTTTATTTTATCAATCCCAAGGTAGATCTCTAGATCTGTAAATTTTTTTACATATACATATATATAAATATATATATAAATATATTTTTGATCCATTATTTACTTTTAAATATTGTTATTTGTCTTCTAATTGATCATCATGACAAAAAATTTAAGCTCCAATGAATTGCAGATGTCACTAAGAGTTGGTTTTACATGTAGAGTGAGGAATTTTTAAGTTAACATAAATGAACTTGTACTTTATACCTCTCATCAACTCCATATTTATGAAGGTAAATATCTAGTGCACTATTGTAATTGTATAAGGCTATATTTCGTGGAATGTGAAAAAGTTTGAAACAAATTTAAATTGGGTTATTACCTTTCATGGTAATGGCCTTTATCAGTGGAGGACACAAATAAACCAATTATAGTACTTTTTTCCGTATGTCTGTACGTACATGTAAGTGTTGCCGTACGTACACGTAAGTGTTGCTGCTTGCCTTCAGTAAGCTGTTGCGGAAATAGACAGGTTTCCCTAACACAATCTTCTGCTCATACTTTACGTGTAAGTTGAGTCTTGGTACTGGTTGTAGAGAGGTTTGGTATCAACACAGTCAAATAATGAAGCCTTTGTACTGTTATACATTAAGCTGGAAACAGATGGCCAGGTCATGCAAGGTAAAACCCTGCAGACGTGGGGAAACCACTGAGTGACTGCCGCAGATACAAGACAACTTGACGTCTCACTATATATAAAAATGCATACCTCTGATGCCAATTCTTAATTGTTTTTTAATTAGCCATTCCTTTTTGTAAAACTTAGTGTATCAAGAGCTAAAGATTCGTGCATCATTCCTTATTTGTTCCCCAGACTCTGTTCTATAGTATATATGCTATAGTTTGTTGTTTAATTATATAGGAGCAGTACATAAAAGCTAACTTACCTACCACTCACAGCATATACCTTAGATATATAA